TGAGCCGCCAGCAGCCGCCATGAGCAGCTGTCCAGAAGATGGCGACTGATCTGCCTCGCCCGGGAAGAGCACAATGATGGTGCCAACTTGGGCCAGTGAAGCAACGTCCTCCATAACTAGTGTGAATGAACAAAAGGACAGCAACTTGTCTGTTCCCCTTCCCCAATTCCCTAGCGCTGTTCCCATTCCCCAATTCCCCAATTTAAAAAAAAATCTTAAAAAAAAACCCATCTGCCCCAATTTAAGTGAAAAATAGGCATACTTATTATAATGACACTTACATATTCATCACATTTCTTTTTTTCCAAATGGCTGTTTGTGAGACTTCTTCTACTTTCGCGATCAGAAATGAACTTGCTGTAAAAACATGTATAATACATTTAACTTCGTGGTAATGATGTGAAGCTTAACATTATACCTAAGTGATTTATTACTTACCAAAACATCATACATGAAAAGTTATCAATCTAAAGTCAAATCATTTAAATACTAATACATTAAAACACTATATGCAATGTAAGTTAATTTTCATATAGGTTTTTTTCCAACTGAAAATTAGGTAAAGTCAGGAATGCTGCTATCAAACTGGCATTTAAAAGAATACCAGAGGCAGGGTCCCTTCTGAGCGCACATTCCTGGAGTACAAAGTTTTTAAATAGGAATTCCCGCTTCCCTGCAAACAAGGAACCAACTCTTGCCCCATCCAATATTCCTTCAGCACCTGCTACATGCAAGTCACTAGACAAGGTGATGAGGGAGACATGGAGGTGTGTAATAAGAGATGCAGACACTAGGCTACAAGAGGTGAGACCAGGAAATTATGGTGGGGGGAGGCAGAGCATTAGTCCATGGTAAGGGGCAGAGCTAGGGCTTTAAGAAAGCATGGCATTGAGAACTCGAGTTCAGATCCTCACTAGCTGTGAGGGCATGCTACCTCAGTTTCCTCACCGGTGAGATGGGAGTAACACTGTTACATTATCTCTAGGAGTTATGGGGAGAATTAAATAAGAGAGCAGGTGTAAAACATCAGTACATCTCCAGGCACAGAAAAAGAGCAACAGGTTAATCGTTCCTCTCCACGGGGGAAGTGGGACTTGAGTTGGGATGGGGAAGGTTCAGAAGGGCTGAGTGGAGTAAACTGTACGCAAATATATAGAAACAGGAATTCAGAATGATCTAAGATCCATATTCAGAATTAATATCAGGGCAAGCCAGTTTCGGGTGCCCCCTCTCGTAAGAGAGCTGTACTTTCGCTTCAATTAAAAAAGAATTAATATCAGAACTTTATGGCCTAAATTTCTAATTTTTTAAAAAATTCACCATTAAAAAAATAAGTACTATTGTCAAAAAAAAAAGTCCATTCATAGGCAAATTGCTGCATGTATTAATAAAACCTGTTAGGTATGCTTTGTAGCTCTTCCAGGAATTTAAATATCTGGTCTTCGTAATAACTAATGACAGTAAATTTTTCACTAATAAATGTAAAGTCGCTTGCACTGAACTATTTTAAAGAAGCATATATCTTTAAACTACGTTACATTTTCATACACTTTGAGTGATGCTCTATTTCACAATAAAACATTGTTAATGAAAAATATACATCATTTATTTATCTATCTTTTTCATCTGTAGTCCAATGGGCCTGGCTTTCTCCCTGGCATTACTTCTCCAGGTTCGCATTTTGCCAGGATAAACCAAAGACAGGCAGTGTACATACTATAGACCTCCTCTGAGAGCACCCCCCAGCAGAAGCAGCACAACCTGCGGTTTATTCCCTTCAGCGTCTGCCTTTGCCTAGGACCTTGGCCTGGCCAGTTGCTCTGAGCGATCAAACGGACGGGGAAGAAAACCTTGGTCTCCTGAAATGCAGGAGCTGACACTGCAGCTGAGGAGAGACCACACCAGCTAACACCAGAATAGGAACATCAGGCTGAGTGCAAAAGTGAGCTGAGATAAGGAATCCAGAGAAGGAAAAACCATGATTGGATGGGATTAGCCACAGGAAACGTAAAGGCAGAGGCCTGAGGAACAGTATTGCAGATTCTTAGCAAGGGAAGGACATGATGAAAGCAGTATCTTTGGAGACCAATCTGGCAGTTGTATAACATTTGGCCTTTCGTTTGCCCTTAACATTTTAAATCTTTCCACAGAATTGAGGTGCCCAGATCTGGCTGGAGAGGGACAAGGGAAGGCAGCCTCCTTTTCACCCAGGCAACCTAGGGCCACGTGGCTGCTGGGCTTTGCAAAGTGAAATCGATTTCAAGAATAAATCTGCCATTAAATAGAAGACTGTATGGCATCAGGCTAATGTTAACAGCCGACTCACGTCTACCAAATCTTTACCCCGAAGATTTGCCTTTCTTGCGGAGGCACTTGTTTTCCAAAAAAGATTTTTGTTATTTTTAAAGTAAGGAAAAAGCCCCAACATTTTCAAACAAACCGAACAAAACACCAACAAACCGCCTATGGCAGATCTAAGTTCCCGGCCCGGCCACATCCCCCAGAATTTGTGGCAGAGGGCGAGTGGGCAGAAAAGAAAAGAACATGGGCAACGTGACATAAGCAGCATTCAATAGGTTCAAACACTGTGCGATACAAGGAGATGGAGAAGAAGGCCCCTGCATGATTGCTCGCTCTTCTCTGCCCAACTTCTGTGGAACGAGAATGAGGAAACTGACTTACAGGCTGTTGGAATTAGTCACCATTAAAAAAACACATTGTGTGTCAAGCGCCTCCCTGATTCTGCCTCTTCTGGTCTATTCTCTGCAGCGAGACTTAATAGGTTTTCCCAAAAATCTTCACTGGTTCCCCCATGGAAAAAAGTTTCAAGTACAAATTCCTCACCCTGCAATTCCAGATACTGCTGAATTTGATTTTGTCTCAATGTCCCAATCTCAAAATGTCTCCCTGCTCCTCAAAATGATCTTCCCAAGAGGGGGTGAGGACTGAGACAAAGATCATAGCATTCTGAGAGGAGAGACAGAAACACAGGACAGCAGTGGGAATCCACTCCCCACCCAGGAGGCCCTCCGTCCTCCTGTCAGCCAATGCCTTCTTGCCAGTTCAAAGGCTTCATCTTCCAGGAGTCTTCTGATTCTCTGGTTTGAACTGAGTTTTCTGACTCTGACCTACTTACCACTTGGTCTGTGGCACAGACAGTGCTACTGAACTCATCTTGCATCCAGGGTGGTTATGGAGTGCTCTCAGTCTCTCCTTCTTAAATGTACCTACCCATCCATTAGCCACTCAGAGGAACCCTCCATAAGCTGATCATGCATCTTCTATTTAGGAATTAGGGAGTAGCTTAGGCTGCAGGGAAATCTAGCTCAGTAAGAATGAAGTACTTAAAGAAATCCTCTCTAATTCTCTTTATGGTGTTTCAATGTTTTCTTCTCTTTAGTCTTGAAGTTTTTGCTTTGTATTTCGGTAAACTTTTTAAAAAAAAACAAAATAAAACCAACCTTTTTAGTAATGGAACAGTCCATTTAAAATAACTAGGTCAAGCAGCTTATCACAAGTTTCTGTTATCTTACCATTTAAAAAAAAAGTGTAATTGCGTGTGAAAAAGCATTGAGCTCTGGCAAAGAAATTGAGTTAAGATTTCTCTTTATTGACTTAAAAATGGGCTATGGGAGAAGGTGTCTTTGACATGTAGTCTCAGGATGATAAAAGTATTATTTAAAAGAAGAGTTTTCACTGGGTCAGTCCTTACCCATAAAGCAGAATTGAATAAACTATTAGGTAGTCAATTGTTCTGAGAACAAAACCAAACAAAAACCTACAGTGGCTGTCATGGTGACCTTCAATAGACAAAGCCTTAAAAAGGATGTAGGCGTTAGAGTGAGGTGGTGTAAAGAGAGGCGAGCAACAGCGAGCAGTTATTTAAAACCAGAAGTGAATCAACAACAACAATCCAACAAGGACGGGTTGTGCAATAGGAAAATAATCTTTCTATTTTAATCTCTACCAATCAGGCTCTTACTAGATTATAGTGTCTCATTTGAGGATTCATAACACAAAAGAGATGAGTGGTTGAACTTAAATGACCTTTCCTAATTCTTTCCCTGAAATTGTAACACTCTATAAAAAAAAGTCAAAGAGAAGGAAAGAAGCAAGTAACAAAGAGACTGGAAAACATGAAAGAATTAAAGAAACCACGCATTTAAAGAGAAGTCTGACAGGTAAGCATAGCCTTACTTGGTGAATAAACTCTACTGAAAATAGGAGAAAACAGACTTTAATTGTAACAGGAGCAATTAAAGCAAGGAAAGGATTTTCTGACATAAGAACAGAACAGAGGAAGAAGTGATGGAACCTTCTTCCTTGAGGTATAGAAAAGATATTAGAAGAGAAGGCATAATGTTTCAAGGGTCCTCCCAAGTAACACAAATCTAGTACACAAAGTCTGAAAGATATACAGGGACAAAAAAAAGAAAGAAAAAAAGAAAAGAAAGATGATGTAGGGTATAGTAACAAGAGTTGCCCCAAATTCTTTTAAGAAAAATCTTAATGAGGGATTCTCAAATTTTGTTGGATGCTTCCTGGGTCATAACAACAAAAACTATACATAGAGAAAAGAGCAACAGTAAATAAATATTAAAATGTGTAAATGTTTGCCTAGATGCAGCTAGAATAATATACTCATATTTCAACATCTTTAAGATAACAATAACCCGCCATCACCCAAAACCTAAAACAATATTATTACTCCTTGGAGTGGAGAAGAAAGCAATGCCTGCCAAAGAAAAAGGATGCACCTATATAGATAAAGTCTTTTCTCATAGTAAAAGGTGTACTATTGCCAGGCACTGTACCAAGTACTTTACATGGATCTTCTCATTTATTTTCACAATAATTACACGTGGTTGGTACTATTATTAGCTCCATTTTAGATAAATTAAGTAACTTGAACAAAGTAACATTACTAATAACTAAGCTGTTGAGCCAGGATTTGAACCTAAGCTAGCTGACTGCAGGGCCTGAGTTCTTAGCCTACGAACAGTATTGTGTTTAGTATTCCCCAACTCTCCCGTGAAATAACGTATTATTACTATCCCTGTCTTACAGGGATGGAACTGAGGTTTAAAGCAGAAGATCACACAAGACCTATTGATAGGGCCAGGATTCAATACAAGTCTAAATCCAAACCATGCACTTACCTGCTCTCTCTTTCTATGTCTGCTTCTGTTTCTCTCATTTAACAAAGACTTTGTAATGTGCATTCTGTATCAGGCAGTATTATTGTATCACTTCAAGGTACAAGAGACATAAAGATGATTAAGATGATTCCTTCTCTCAAGAAGGTCACATGTAGAGAAAGAGTCTAGAGCTTGCTACTTAAAGTGCAGTCCATGGACCAGCCGTATGAGCATTACCTGGGAGCTTGCTAGAAATTAGAACCTCAGGCCCCATCCCAGACCTACTGAATCAGCATCTGCATTTTAACAAGGTTTCCTGATGTTTCATATGCACTTTAATATGTCAGTAATACTGATTTAGTGGACATTTTTAAATGTTTTGCTGTTCCAGGTATCGATTTCTATGACATTAACCCCAAAATTAGGGCATGAAATAAAACAACTGAACTGGTGTAAGGGCAGGTATCCTAATGACCAAATGGCTCTACTTTATTTTTATCTAAACTTTAAAAAGTGATTCTTATTGTATCCTAGTGAGGAGCTTCCAGGCAAAGCTATCAGCTAGATGCCAGGTAATCAGAGATCAACATTTGTTTTCAACATTTTCTCTAGCTTCCTAAAAAGAAGCACCATCGCACGGAAGTTCACAGTTTTGGAGATAGTTCTCTTAGAGGTATATAATTGGGCCTACCTTTCTCCCACTAATGTGGAAAAGCTGCAAGAAGAATGCAAGGTACTTAGGTGTAGCTTTTGCAGAAATCATGATAGGGGTCTTTTTTTATTTTTAGTTACCCTTTTGGCTTCATGCCATAATATGTTGTTTTTCATTTTAATTGTCCTAGAGCCATAAATGAAGCAAGATTCATAAACTATGTCAATAAAAGAGGGCAGCTAAAATAAATGAAGAAATAAATGCATCACGCTGTATTTGCAAGAGTGGAACCAAACTCTGCAAAACAAGTGGTCCACACCCAACAGCAATCCCGCTGTACCAGTTCATCGCCTTAGTCATAGTGTAGGGGGAAGTGAGCTCCCTTGGGCAAGGTGTCCACATGCCCGAGTCAGGGGTGAGAGTGGGCGCTTCCATGTACTGCAAGTGGTAATCAGCTCAAAAACTTAGTATTTTTAGTAAGTAAACTTTTTAAGATCAAGTTCAGATTCTAAACTGAATATTATAAATGATTTTCATTTTAAGGTCTTCAAGGTCTGTATTGCTCTGGGAATGAAGCTTCATTATAAAAACAAAGTGTCCTAGTTAGGAAATGGTTGGACTCCTATGCACTGTTAAGTGGAGGTCAGCAGTGACTACAGAACATTCAAGGAGTACAGAGCATAAATTAGCACTGGTAGAGTTTAACAGAACTAGTAAAGACTATTTTTCACTAATGCCTGAGCATTATAATCAGAAGCAGTGGAATATAGTAGAAAGACAAGGATTTCAGACAGACCTGCATATGTCCTGGGGCAACATATTTTATTTCTCTGAGCCTCAGTTTCCTTCTTTGCAAACTAAATTTTTAAAATTTATTTGCAAAAGAACACTTTGCGTGATGTTATAAGGATAAATGGCAATATATGTTTAAAAAGCTGGCAGTCAAGAAATGGTAATTATGAATTACTCAGAAAAGGTGAAAGAAGTAAACTTGAGTCCAACAATAAGAAATAGAACAACACAGTAAATGATACTTGGATGACAATGAAGAAGTGTCTGGGTTGGATACTTAACCTCTAAGATCATTTAAGGAAGAGAAAAAGGAGGCGGGGCAAGGCTGAAACGTCTGAGTATATGTAAAGGATGAGAGCTAAGTCCTATGCTGGACTTTCAATTATGTATACACTATTTCAGAATGTAGAGAGGACTATCAGAAACGATTTCTATGAAGATGCCTGGTTAGGTGACATAATGTTTTCATCTTCCCCCACTCTAATCTCCTTTTGACACCCCCTGCAAAAAAAGTGTAGCATCACTGGTGTTCTGATAAGTAGTCCTGTTACTCCACTCTCCTGTCCTAGCCTTTTAAGAGACTTTATGCTTCAAACAAGCTGTACCACTAACTCCCAAGCTGAAGGGCTTCCTGCTAAGGGATCCACACAAACTGGCAATAAAATCAGTAGGTCAGAGAATGCCCCAAATCATTAAAAAATAATAATAAAGACATTTGGCCATACTCTTGGAACTTAAGAAACAGAACCCAAGCATTGGAAGGACAGGCTGAGGTCACAGCTACCTCTCCACGTCCTGTCACTCATAGTATCTTTAATTTTCTTTCTGTTTCATGTACTGTTTCTCTACTATAGTTTCTCATAGAGCCATGTGGGATCAACTATTGTTCTTTAAAATCCATGTTACAAATAATGCTTGTCATGATGTATTTGTAGTTTTAACACAGGAATACTGGCAAATGCAACTTTGACCATTTCTTGATTAAAATGTGGGCCAGGTCAGATGACTGTATAGTACGCATTCAGCTACAGGATGCAGTGAAATTCCAATAGTCTCTCTAATTCATAAGCACAGAGCTTTTGAAAAGTTAGGGCTGGTTGGGGTCCAATGTATTTATACATTTTTATTAGACTCAATTGAAAGATTTGAAAGGATGAATAAATTATTTTCCTATTTGCTTCATTTGCTATTGCAGACTGTGCCCAACAGATGTCACATAAGAAATTCAAATTACATCTTCAAATGGAGCATAACTTTAGTAATGAATAATTCAAGAGAATAACTGAAAATTTAGATAACATTTCTTTCATTGGCTAGAAAGTGTTAGTAGAAAAATACTCACCTGTTTATTTGACCATTTTCTACTTCAGTGAAATCATTGGAATCATTGCTAATGTTATCATCTTCAGGCACTGTCATGTTTTGCAACTCAGTTAATTCGAGTCCACTTTTGAAATGCATCATGTTTAGAAAGTACCTGTAGTCAAAAAATTTGTCCAATATCTCCTGTTCTGAGCGTATTTACAAATGGACAGCAGCAAAAATATAAGCTCGACACCCCTAAAATACAACACAGTGAAAAGTAGTTAAAACATATGAATATCACCACTTATTAAAAATAAACTTATAAGTAAACAAATAATTAATCTACTAATAATGCAACTTTTACATTTTGCTACTCGGAACATTAAAAGCAATCTTTGTACATCAAGTTATAGAGGCTCTACATTTTATGCCTTTCATAAATCTCCCCCATTTTTAACTAAAAATGAGTCCTATCCCATAATCTTTATGCTTACATTTATAGGAATACCATGTGAGCTGCAGGCAATATAGACATCCTTTTATAAAACAATGTTTAAAATGAAAGCAATTCAGTTATTTTAAAACATCGGATCACGGGGCACACATATAGCTGGGTAAGAGTGCAAAGCCACAAAAGCACCTCTGATTTAGCAATCCCACTTTAATAAAAATGCAAATCCTCAATAAATGGCATCATGAGGGATCAACTACCCAACCTAGAGGTCAAGAAGCAAAGGACAAATCTGTGTTTTGAAATTTAGCAAACAGTTTATCCATCAACTGCAAGAGATTAAATCAGCCTCTTCAATGAAATCACTCCATGTCAGGGAATTAGAGAATTAAAAATTCATACTCAGGGGATTTAGGTTAATCCACCTGAAACTATATTTCCTCATCAGAAACAAAAAAAAACTTGCAGAATTCACACTTCCCCCCACATGGATGAATGCAATTTAAAGTTCTGGAACGTCACCAATAGTATATAAGGAGGGAAAAGAATTTCAGACACACAATTTCACAAATCAAAAAGCAGGTGGCAAGAGAGGGGGAACGCAATTTCAAAAGCAAGGGCTCCATATGTGCGGGAGCTTCACGGGCAGAATCTCAGGGACCATGTAATGGGGACCATGGAATGAAGCAGAATGGCAATGAGACTTTTTTTTTTTTACCCTTCAATGGCAATTGGATGACATTTAGATATTTTGTCTGATCCTGAATTCCATAAGATGACTGAAACCTAGTTAAGAGTCAAAACACTAACGTGCCCATCTAAGCATCCTAGTATATCCCAAAAAATATTTTGCTAATTGATATTTTCAGGACCCATAAAAAGTACCCTAGAATGATACTTTTTCCAGAATTTCCTTCTTCTCCTCTTCCCAACAAATAGGCCACACACTATTCCTTTTCACTCACACAGTCTCCTATTTAGCATGGAACTTCCCTGGTGCCACGATCCTGTCCACCTTCCACCACATAAATACTTCCTAATACCTCAGGTTGCATGAGCTTCACCCTTCCTGCAGGGCAGGGCCTTGCCTGGAAAGCAGGAAGCCAGGACAGGGAGGTGTGAGTGCCACGAACTCCTGGTCTAAAGCCAGCCTGACAGCTGGGGGCTGATTCTTCTAACCAGGGTTGTAGTCACTAGAGACTGGGCCATTTCTAAATGCTTTCAGTACCTTCAGACAGCAGCAGTGTTTGCAACCTGTCTTTACTTTGCAAAAGTTGAAGTGTGTCAAAAAGGCTGAACCCCACTCTCACCTTTTGACCCCCTTTGATGAAGCCTGCACACAGGGACTAGACTGGGTAATTTCTAGCACTCTCCTGTATGGCTCCCTTAGAGACTACTGAAGTGACACTATAGGGCTGAAAGTTGATTCAGTGGAAGGCGTTTCCACTCCGCATTAAGGAGTCTTTTCTCTGCATAAATTGGTAGGAAAAAGGATACTAGAGAAAAGTTTTTTTGAGGAGAGAAAAAGTTAACTAATAATAGATATGGAGTCTGCTGTTTGAATTGAAATGTTCATATCAATATATATATATATATATATATGTGTGTGTGCATGGGTATGCATGTATACAAATAGCATATATATGTGTATATATATATGCATGTGTCTGTGTGTGTATATACATATATATGTAAACATGTATGTATAAAACTAGTCATTTAAAAAATGGACAAAAAGGTGAAAAGAATAAAAATAATATAGGAAGTCCTTGTTACTAAAATTACATCAGTATTCGGCAAATACCAGTGCTAAGTTAATCACATAGAAATTTTTTTCCCTTTGGCTTAAAGAGAAACTTATTTTTTCATAGTTCTGGAAGACAGAAGTCCAAGATCAAGTGCAAGCATCCTTCTGAGGCCTCCCTCCTTGGTTTGCAGATAGCTGCCTTCTTGCTGTGTCCTTATCTGGTCTTTTCTTTCTGTGTTGTTTGTGTCCTAATCTCCTTTTTTTTTTTTAGAATACATTTTTATTGTTATGAAACAACCTATATGAAATCTACCTTGTTCTTGAAAATGAAAACTGGGAAATAGGGAAAATTTAAAAAGTTAGTGACACCTGTCACTAAGGTTGAGGCTACATTTAGGAAACCCTATCCATTCAATTTATCATATATTCAGAGTACTAAGTGATGAAGGGATTTAAAAAGTTTGAAAAAGGTCAAATTCAGGACTCTGAGGCAGCTTAATAGAAAAGTCACATTTGAACTGGCTCTTGAAAAAGCAAAAACAATTTTTCTGATTCTAAAACAATACATGCTAACTATAGAACCTTTAGAACAGAGACTGTAAAAGAAATTCTACTACTCAAAAATGGGCCACTGTTAGATTTTGATATATTTCCTCCCTTCTTCTTGTCTTCCTTTTCTTATTTTTTTCTTTTCCTTTGTTTTCTTTCTCCCTCCCTCTCTAGTTCCCTCTCCTCACTCTCTCTCATTTATTTAACATTGGGATTTTAGACTGTTTTTAACCTACTTTTCATGTAGCATTACACTGTAAACATTTTGAAGAAGTGTTTTTTAAAAACTTATTAGTTCTTTATCAATAAACAATATAGGTTTTTGTAGAAAAATTTGAACTTACAAGTTTGCCAATAAAGGAAGAAACAAGTAAAAAGAAAAAAGTCACCTGTTATCTCAGCAAGCAGAGACAATCTCTGTACATATACTAGAGTATGATCTTACAGGGTTTTCCTATGCACATAGATATAGTGCGTGGTACACAGTCAGTGCTCAATAAATATCTGTTAAATGAAAATAAGTACAAATAAAAATATGCATACATTTATAAAACTGTAAATCATACCTTAGAGTTTCTAAAACACATTTTTTCATTTAACAAGATAGGGTCTCCTATCCTGAGTTATGTCAGTAGACACAGGTCTACACATTACTTCTAATGATCGCTTAGCTGCTTGACTGTGTCATAAATTGACATCTGACCCATTGCCACTGGCCAGTCACACTGCTTGGTGTACAGGAGATTGACAGGCAGAGATGGGCCCTGAGCTGAGACTTCTCAGTGAAGGAGGACATGGTCAACAGCACAGAGGTGGAGTTCAAGAAATAACGAATTATAGTTTCACTGAAAGATTGAAGCAATTATCAGACTATACAATTAATTAAAAAGGCAAATGGGGTCATCATGTGAAGATCTTGATGTTAATCCAACCATAATTACTATCTCCCAGTGTTTATATTAGGTTACGAATTGCAATTTACTCAGCACAGCACATTTCTGACCCTTTACCTTAATTGTGAGGTACTCTTAAGCGAGTATTATTATCGTTGTATGCTTACTGATATGCTTTAGTAATAGTACCAATGTAAAATACCTAAACTTATTCTCTACTCTTCATGGTGTTGTGTCAAAAGAGAGACTATGCAGATAAACTTGTCTGGCCTTACATTGCATAGAGCCTATTTAAGCAAGAAAGACCATATCCATATAAAGCGACAGCATACCATAAAACATTTGTATAATAGAAACAAACTATATGGTAGAATAAAGATTAAATCCAGAAAGATTTCACAGCAGGTGTACATACATATGTACATATAGAAAGGGAAGGAAGGAAAGGCGGGGAGGAAAAGAAGGAAAGTAACTGAGGCCTTGAGAAATCAAGGAAGGTTTTACAAAGAGTTAGGACTCGAACTATGTCTAAAAACAGGTAGGATTTAGACTGGGGGATAGGGAAGGCATTACTTGTATTGGGAACAGCACAGGCAGAGACAAGGAGACCAACTGTGCACAGAACAGACTTATACGACCATTCATATTAGCCTAGCTAGAGTAAAGGGAGCAAGAGACTCTATGTGTTCTTGAGTATTAGGAGGTTTGATGGTTGAGTAAAAGCTGATTAAAAAAAAAAGATCATAGAGGGAAAACCAAACCAAAGAATATATTGTAACTTAAACACTGTTCAAAATTACTTTTTGGGATAAACAAGCAAAAATACTATTTCAATTGCTCATATACTTTGCGGTAGATTGGTCCACTCGATATTTATTCCCACTTCTTACTAGTACAATTCTATTGAGGATGGAAAGTTGAAAGCTACATTTCCCACATTCCTTTGCATCTAGGGCTCTATATATGATTTATATTCCACCAATCAGAGAGCAAGGTGGTAGGTGCAAAGCATCCATTTGCAGGTACTACTCTAGCAGGTGCAGTAGATAATACTGGAGGCAACAGTTGTGGCTATGGATTCCTGATAATCAGGTTTGGCTCAAGGGATGTGTTTCTGGAGCATGTAGTTGAGACAATGTGAAACCAGCTTCCTGATGGAGCTACAAGTAGCAGTTTTCTTAGCATGCCAGTTGAATGGTGGTGTTCTGGTAATTATCCCTAGAGGTCCAACCTAGAGCGCACTGTGTCATCTAACAATTTTATAGGCACTTCATTCCCTGTATAAATCCCTTTTGCTTAACATATGTAAAAAAGATTTCTGTTATTCTAAACCCTGACTAATATTCTAATTTTATTTTTTCCTCCCTTTTAAATTATTTTATTATGGGAACCTTTAAACATATATAATAATGGACAGACTAGAATAATAAACCCCCATGTACCAACTTCCACATTTATTAATTCAAGCCAGTCTTGTTGAAGTTTTATCCCCACCATCACACAGAATTATCTTAAAGCAGATCCCAGATATCCAATCACCTGTAAATATTTCAGCATATCTTTTTAAAAGGTAAGAACTCTTTTTTTCCAAACAATACCACCATATCGTTATCAAACCTAAAAAAATAATAAGAATTCTTTAACATCACTAAATATCCAATCATGTTCACTTAATTTTAAATTATTATGAATCAATGTTGGTTTTTTATTCTGAAGAACTACTCAAATCACACCTCTCCTAGCTCAGCTCCCGAGAATCAATCATGATAGCCAGGTCAGTGGTTTTGAGAAAGTATTAGGCCTAAGATTAATGATGGTCCTATTCTTCCTGTCGTCTCTTCCAACAACTGACTGAGCCTGTTGACCCACTTGGAATCTTTGGATCACTGGGCTCTTAGATGGCAATATGGATCTATGAGGATGAGCTGCTTTTCTGTATTTCGAAAGGCCTTAGACAGGCTAAACTGGTTATCTAAAAAATGTCAGGTATCCTTGCTTTTGGCCAGATTGCATTAATTTGATGCGATAATCCTAAATTCTGCCTGGCAATTTTATATATCTTGAGTAATAAAAATGGAAAGTGAATTAACATATTAAAGTTGTTGTCAAAACTCATTAAACAGTATAGTTAAGATCTGGATGTTGCATTGCATATAAATTATACTTGAATTAAAATAAAAGCTTAAAATTGATATTCAAAATCTTTGAAAAGCTGGGATCCTTGAAAGGTGGGAAGTAATAAAAAAGGTGTTTGGTAGTAAACAGGCTGGGAGCTAGTAAGCAATCTCAGAAGAAAAGGAGTTTTCTCTCTTACTCAAGACTCATGGCTTAACCTTAAGCGCCAGTAGTCTCAGCTCTGCTAGGACCCTCAAGGGCCATTTCCTCTCTGCTAGCTTCCCCAGTTTCTGTCAATCACTCTCAGCTCTGTATCTGGAAAGTAACCTTGTCTAGAATATATTATAACTCAAACACTGTTCAAAATTACTTTTTGGGATAAATAAGCAAAAATACTATTTCAATTGCTCATATGCTTTGTGGTAGATTGGCCCACTCGATGTTTATTCCCACGTCTTTCTAGTACAGTACTATAGAGGATGGAAAGTTGAAAGCTACGTTTCCCACATTCCTGTGCAACTAGGGCTCTATATATGAAAAACTTGCTCCTGTCCTTATCACTTCCCTGAAACCGTGCCCAACTGGCAAATTCTGGTTCCACCCTTTAGGAGCTGTGGGACCCTGGGCCAGTCTGTTAACTCCTCTTCATCTCAATTTCCTCTCCTGTACAACAGAGATAAAGCAATACCCACCCTATCATTGTAACAATTCCATGGTTGCGTCCATGTGCAGCACTTACAGTAGTGCCTGGCCTGGTTCTTGTAAGCTATTGTGACTATGATGGCTACTAGTTCTTAGTCAAGACAAGAGGCCTCTTTTTTCAGTCTTCATTCACTTCAACGCCTTGCAGAGCATGGAGCATTGTTTACTGACCTCACCATTTCCTCCTAAGTGCTGCTTCTTGGCCTCTTTTGCCAACTCACTCCCTCCTCCCATGCTTAGTGTTGGGGTGACTCTTTGTACTTCCACTCTTCCCTCCACTCACTCTAAATTCTTTCCTTTTTAAGGCTTCAAGCCTGTAGTGTCATGTTCATCCCACAGGGCATCTTTGAGATTTTTTTCCCCCAGGCTTTCTCATTTTATAAAACTAGAATTCCTTTGTATTATGAAATAAGATCTCCCTCATAAACACTGCTTGATAATGATCACGTCACTAAACATGCCGCATGTTTCTTCATCTGTAAAACGAGAAGGTTAAAGGGGGGTGATCTCTCAAGTTCCTTCCTGCTCAGAAAAATTTCCACAAATCCTTGCTAGACAACAGCTGCCTTCTGGACTTCTCCACGTGAATGTCTGACATTACCTCAAACTCCACATGCCTAAATGAACACATCACCTGACCTCACACATCAGCTTTTCTATTTCTGTTAAAGATAATGTTCATTCTCATCATCATGCTGACTTGGAATCTGGCATCACTTTAATGCCACCTCATGTCTAACCAGTCAGCAAGTCCTATCCACATTCTTTTTTTTAAATTTAATTTAATTATTTTTTTTATTAGTTTCAGGGGTACAAAACGATGTAATAGACATTTACATCCCTCACAAAGTGATAACACCCTTCCCCCAATCTACTACCCCTCGGACATCGTATATAGCTGTTATAATTCCACTGACTCTATTCCCTATGCTGTACTGCACATCCTGTGACTGTGTGTGTGTGTGTGTGTGTGTGTGTGTGTGTGTGTGTATTATAGTTCACATCCAATATTATTCAGCTTCAGCTTCAGGTGTACAGCGCAGTAATTCAACTCAAGACTAAGAAAACAACCCAATTAAAAAATGGGCAGAGGACATGAAGAGACATTTCTCTAAAGAGGACATACAGATGGCCAACACACATATGAAAAAATGCTCAATCTAATCATTAGAGAAATGCAAATAAAAACCACAATGAAATACCACCTTACCCCAGTCAGAATGGCTATCATCAATAAATCAACAAACAACAAGTGCTGGCGAGGTTGTTGGGAAAAGGGGAACCCTGGTGCACTGTTGGTGGGACTGCAGATTGGTGCAGCCACTGTGGAAATCAGTATGGAGGTATCTCAAAAAATTGAAAATGGAACTACCTTATGACCCAGCAATTGCACTCTTAGGTATCTAGCCAAAGGAATCCAAGATGCTAATTTGAATAAAATACATGAACATTTTTTCTTAATTTTCCCTTCCTCTCACTCCTTTCAACTCCACAATCCTAACTTTGCCAGTCACTTTCCTCCACGCCAGCGGTTCTCAACCTTTCACAGGGGTCGCCTAAGACCATCGGAAAACACATATTTTCCATGGTCTTAGGAACCAAGACACGGCTCCTCTATCCATCTCCAGGCCCACATGCAGATACGCCCACATAGAGTACCCGGCGACCCCTGTGAAAGGGTCATTCGACCCCCAAAGGGGTCGCGACCCACAGGTTGAGAACCGCTGCTCCACGCTACCTACTGATCCCTCCCCTCTCCCATCTACAGACACAGATTCTTCCTGAAAACATGTC